TAAAAAGTTGCTAGAAAAAATTGCCAAAAATCCATAAAGTTGCTACCGACCCGCAAATATCGGCAGAATTTAGGAATACTTTTAAGTCTAACGGAACAAAACGCATGGTTCATTTGACGCTTTGCCTAACGACATGTGGCAACTTGAACAAAACCGTCACTACTGCACGATTGCATTCTCAGAGTCTAACACCATATATTTCTTGAAATTTTTTTTAGAATCGTCAAATTTTCGTGCTTTATGGCGATCAAGGCTAACTTATCAACGTGCTTATTCAGTGACATCGCAGTAAAACAAAGATTTAAGAAAACAGTACGGTGCTCCCTCTTTATTTTTTTTTTTTCAGTTTTTCCATTCCAGCATGGTCGCCAACACATGCCTCACATTCCAACACTGGGATATTCTCATTGTGTAGTGATCCATCTGCAACCTTTCGTATTCTATCCTGACAAACCCATTGAAGTTCAGATCACTGTCAATCACATCGACACCAGTGACAAGTCGTATGTACACGATGCGGCAGTGTCATGGGTTGAGAACACCAATTACGATAGATTCACCGCTTGTGTCATGGCAGCAGGTTTCAATGAGCGAGAATCGAGCGCAAACGTCACGATTGATTGGGTGGCGTATCAGGGAGCTCCGGTCGGTGGGCTGGCAGGCGAAGAACGGGTATCACAATGGTGGACTGGAACGACTTGTGTAACGGTGAACTTTCCTTCAGTAAGTAGGCTTTTTTCTTTTTTCTCCTTCATCTCACATCTTTTAACACATTTATTTATTCGTTCGTTGCTTTTCTGTTTAAGGTTATTGCATACACGTGCGTATGTCTTAAGGAATAAGCAACTGAGTATCTTTAATTATTAATTATATAATTGGTGGGAAATAATTGACAGAGTGGTAAACTCCAAACAAGACTGAAATTTCTTTCTGTGTAGGATGCTCAAGTACCAGGATAAGATCGACTCCCAAAAGCTTCATTAGCCATTAATGACGGAGCGTTTTGCGGTTTCTACCGCCTAAAAAGTTATTCCTCTTTGTCCAAAACAGACATTCCCTTACATTTCACGCACATTCCTAAATTTCTAAGATACCACTGCTGTTAGTGTGCAGGTCCTCATTAGTATTAAATGGGTTAGAGGTACTGTAAGAATAAGCTTTCTTTGAAAAAGAACATTACGTGGTAACTGAGACAGGGTTGGACCTGGATATTCCTAACCCCTACAAATGTTTCTCTTATTGGAAGAAGAAATTTCCCAGTGCACCCTCGGTATTTGTAACTGCAAAGCACCATCATTCTGGACTGAAGCGTGACGCAGCTAGTATCTGGATCGAGGATGTCACGCAATCCTCATGCAAAGTTTGCTTGAGGGAGCTCCAGAACTACGCAGGATCCCACAAGGATATTTCTGTTGTGAGTATATAGTTCACTGGCTTATCGTCATATTACAATAAGAATCTTTTTTCTTCCTTTGATTTAGTATTTATTTTCATTAATTTTTGACGGAATACTTTGTCATGACTAATCGCATTTATGCCATGCAGTTATGCGCTCGCTCTCCAGAACGCCCTAAAGGTATTCACATATGGTGTCAAGGCTAAAGTACTGTTGAAATAAGTGCCTGACACCAAATGTTCACAATGTGTTTTAACACATTGTTCTTTAGAACGTACAATTCTCGTAACTACATTCGATCTTGGCACGATACTCTCAAATACAACGAGATACAGCTGAAAGTGTTCTTAAATTAGCTGTTGGGAGAACATTTTAAAGGGAAAAGTGCACATATTTTTCTTGGTGAGGATAAACAAAATTTCTATTTAGCCATCTCGCATGACAATGTCCCGAAATTTTCATGTGTTCGTATTTTCATCAGAACTGGTTGGCGTTCATGAATCTTCACAAGCCCCCTTTTTCAGAACATAATGTGATTCACTTTATTAACAACAGACCTCCCCCTGACGATCAAAATAACGCCTTCTGCAAGGTCAGTTGTCATTGGACATTGGAGGTTTAGCTATTTTACTGTCTATTTCGAGTGTTTGTGTGTATTGTTTGATTTGATAAAGGCCTATTAGTGACTGACCAATGATAATTGCTCTTTGGCGTATATGCTAGACATTTTACGTTTCACCCTACCATTAATTTGAAGCCAAGCGCGTGTTCGAGGATAGGTACTGATTTACGTATTTACGCTCTTTATTCTTCCTCTTTCAGGATGTTAACTTCTTCCACGCCTACCACACAGTCCCAAAAGTAATTGTCTCTGCTAATCACTCAACGAAAGGAGAGAACTTGAGTCCTGTTCACAATGGCATAACTTCTTGGGTAGAGGTAAGTTGGATTCTGTTTTATCATACTAATTCAAGCTTATTTTCAATGTGCCATCAGAAGTTTAGTGTAGTGCCAAATAATTCCATTTATGATAGTACTAGTTATTTTCCCGTCCGGCCCTCTCATTCGGCAAGTACATATACATTCGGTAAGTACATATGGCTTATGTACTATTTTTTTCTTCTCTACAGTATATCAACAAGACTGGCTTTCGTGTTTGTTTTAAAGAATTATATGAAACCAAATATGATCCTCTTACTATTATCTACACTGTCATGTCAGGTAAATACTTGGGTACTTAACTTTGTTACAAAGTAATGTATTTTTAAATCAGGACCAAAAATCATTTTCCACAACAACAAGTCATCCCTGCAGCCTTATCCCTCTCTGTTCCAGAGTGAATACATGCTATAGTAGTGCATATATCTTTTTTAATGAATTTTTGCCAGGTCACAAATGTTTTATTAGGAGGAAAATAGACAATAGGGAGGGGCAGGCAAGAAGTTTGCTGAGATATGCTGATTTTTCTTATTTTTCATGGCTTTACAAGGATATTGCAGCCATACGCGTTTCCTGTCTCACCGTCCTCGGTCAACCAACAGTCGCTTTCATTCCTATGTTGTCCGTCATTAGAGCATTAGATCGAGTCGATGTTCTATTTGGACCCCCTTTGGTAACAGACTGTGAATAGTGACTGATACAGAAAATCGGTTAAGTTTTGTGTCCTATGTAATAATGTACTATATTATTTGCTTCTCATGCAGATCTATGCCAGCCTGGATGGGATTATTTCAATGGTTATTGTTATTTCACAAGCTCTACTTGCACCACTTGGCCAAATGCTGAAACAAAATGTTCTAAAATGGACTCACATCTTGTGACAGTCCATAATCAAGAAGAGAATGTTTACATTCAACATCGGCATAATGGAGAGAAATCCTGGATTGGGCTCAATGATCGAAGCGTGGAAGGATTATTCGTTTGGACAAAGAAAGGCACAAGTAGCTTTAGATTCTGGGCGGCAAACCAACCAAACAATGATACAGATCAGGACTGTGTACACACTCTTGGCTCAAACAATGGATACACTTGGAATGACGTTTCATGCGATAACTGCTTCAAATTTACTTGTTTTAAAGGTAAACAACTTAACAGATTTGAACAAACAGAAAGGATTAATCTTGAGCCGTTTTAGTTTCGTAAGAAATTAACAGACGATTTGACTTCACCCAGCCGAGCGCAATAAGGGAGTTGGAATACCAAAATTGCAACAAATACAAAAAAATAAAGTGGTCAAGCATAAGAATGACTAACCTAGAGTGACTTAATTTTCCCGCGAAACGCTTAAATAACCCGAAACTTCCATGAAGTCACGCGAACCTCTTCACCATCAGAATATTAATTCTGCCGGTTCGTTCCCATGTCACTCTAACGTCAGAAATTCCTTTTTGTACCTAGTTGAAGACTACTGCGTCAATCATTGGTGACAAAACGATGCAAAGTGTATGAGCTATGAAAAGTGCCAGAAATGTGCGTTTAAGTCACCTGGTTGGAAAGGAAATTATTGTGAAAAAGGTTCGCCTCTTGTTAAAATAATCCACCATTTTTAGGGGCATGTTAAACAAAGAAGATGTTAAACAAAGGTGAGGGATTCTTAATTAGGATATGCTTATCCACAGATGTCAACGAATGCGAGGAAGGTCTACATGGTTGTCATCCCAACTCCATTTGTTATAACACTGTGGGTTCCTATAACTGTGCATGCCGACCAGGATTTAATGGAGACGGAAGAAACAGCTGCACACGTGCAGGTAAGGTTGTAAACCACTTTGTGTGGAGACGTAAAGGATAAGCTAGAAAATGCTGCGTACAATTGCACATTCTGGCTATTACACAAGTCCAGTTAATACCATCTTCATGATCAATAGTATTAACGTTGTCATCTCCGTCACCCTTCCAATTGTTTCATTCTTATCACTTTGTATCTCCTTCCTGTTATTGTCATTCCCATTCTTATCTTTGCTCTCCTGGATGACCAATTTTATGCCTAATCCTAATCCTCATCTTCATATACGTCCTCACCATACTTTTCCTCCATGTGCTCGTTTTTTTGTTCGTCCACTTCCTCCTTTTTGCCTTCCCTCTCTTTATCATCTTCGCCATTGTTATCATCACCATCGTCATCGTTTTCATACTCTTCGGAAAAGTAACGCCGATCCCTTTAACGTCATCATTGACATCATCATAGACAGGAAACTATTTTGAAAAATGTTTTATTTTTGTTGAAGAATTTTCTTTTTAAGTTCATGTAATAAACAATGAAGATGGAGGATGCTAAATTAAGACATATTTATCTATAGATGTTAACGAATGTGAGGAAAGTCTACATGGTCGTCATGCCAATGCAGTTTGTGATAACGTTGTTCCTCAAATCGTGCAAGAATTATGTACTTTTGAAAAACAACGATCGTTTTATCGCTTATGACTGATATTGTCGCACACACCTACTTAAAACCAACTAGGATGCGTTTCGGTTGTGGTAGCATTTAACTGCCTGTGTTCAATCACTTAACTCACTTACTTGAGGAAGATTATGCCTATCATTTGGGAAAAAACCGCTTTAATTTTCCTTCTCTAGGTCATTCTTGTAAGGAAATTCGAGTGCAGGTTCCCATCTTAAAGACGGGGAGTACTGGATCGCTATCAAGAACAACGGAAACCTTTTAAAGGTCTACTGTGATATGACAACCGATGGAGGTAAGGAATGGATGTTTAAGAAAACCTAATAACGATGACGGTGTTTTTTACTTCTGCTGTCCTTCTATAGGACAGTTTGTGCAGAGGTAAAAAAACCAGAATGGAAAAAAAGAACGGAATGTAATATTATCTTGCAATATAAAGCATTTTACCTTATTTAATTTCTTTTTTTCAGGAGGTTGGCTTCTGGTCTCCAACGTTGTCGTCAACAACCCATCCTCGCTACGGTTTTCATACGAATCATCATATCGTGAAATAAGCAATTACCACTACAAGTCGTTTTTACTCACGACAGAAGCCATGAAGGAACTGAGAACAGACTTGCCTTTCACTCAGTTGAGATTCTATTGCAGCAAAAACAAGGGACGCACTTTCCATTTGACCACGGCCGCTAACAGCACTGGCGAATCAGTAGTAAAATACTTCAGTAATCAGACAGATGCCTTTCCGAAATCATGTGGCTCGTTTTTGAGGATGAAGGATGACAACTCGAAGTTAGCTGCTAATTGTATTCAATGGTATCATAAAACGTGGGGAAGCCCTTCAGGAAGAAACAGATTTCGTGTCGTTGCTTTTGTCAATAGTAAATATCACTGGCTTTTGGAAGGGAGCTGGCTTTTGGAAGGGGGCTTAAGATGGGAATGTGATGACTACAACTCTAATGGTGCAGAATATTTTGGATTGTCCACAGGTGACTTCTGGAGGGTTTTTGTTCGTTAAGGCCAAATACAACCAGTAACTAAACAGTTCTCACTGTCCTGAAAAACTAGATCTGTGTCACGTTTTGCCGTTTTTTTCCTTTGGTTGCTAAACCAAGTCTCCGATGTCGAAAGACACTTATTAAAATGTCAAGTATGATCCTCGAGTCAACTTTTATTTCGTGTATCACAAAGACAAAAGAGAAAAAAACATTGAAAGATAAACCAAAAAGCAAAAACAACAAACAAATCCAAAAAAATATCGGTCGAATTTAAATTTGAATTTCATTTCATTTCGATCCTTTTATGATCTGTCGAAACAAAAGATCAATTGCATGATGACAATAGTAGCACAAGCATGCGTCAAATGATCCAAAATGGCGCTCGGAAGGAAGTACAAACACAATATTGCTTGGGTTTGATTTCAGTTTTTGAACTCTCAGGTGCCTGTTCACATCTTTTGTAACAGCACATCGTATCACAAGAATTTCCCTACCGTTTCACAGAAACACAATGTCACATATTGTAAAGGCATGTCAGTGAACAAGAAAGGCGTGTGTGAGATAGCTGTAAGCGTATTTATGTGAGTACATTATGATTTGCACATGCATAACGCGTGAGTATTGCAGCATTACACCACTTCCCCTTACCTTTGACCTACACGTTATATGTCAAAACATTTCATTCTTGTTCATGTTAACATCAACTTTTCGTTCTAAGTTGTAATACACCCACGGTACTTAGATATCTTGAAGGAAACGATGAGTCGTTTTGCAAATGCAGTAGAGTAAAAATCTAAGACCAGACATAACATACTAAATGTTTGTACGGACTTCAATAATAAAGAGAAATAATCATTCATTTTTATTATTGTTGTTGTTGTTTTCAATTAAAGTCTCAGCCCATCGACTAGCAAAACAAAAGAAAAAACAAAACCGAACCTAAACAAAACCTGACAACAACAGCACAAACAGGGGCAAAGACAAAAAAAACAAAAGTGAGGAAATAATCAAACCTCGAGCGACTTTGTTAGCTAATCAGCAACGATATCGGTTATAGAAATCCATAGATCCAGCTTCGAAATTCTGGTAGCATTGTTATTTAAAAGAGGATGAATAAGAAAATTAATGAATGAAATTAAAAAGGTAGTTATAACTCAGTCATCTAGAGAAAATCACTACACGTCACATCAGCTGTGTTCCAGAAACGTTTTCCTGACCTTAGGAGCCTACTTCACCAGACGACCGGCTCTTGATGATTACCAACAAGTATCAGCTTTGAAAGAAGAAATTACTTGATATCGGCATATATTCGGTCGAGCAGTCGAGAAGACACGACAACTTATGATCTGATTCCACCTTTAGTGGTTGCGTTGTGTTCTACCTCTACAAGAAATTTTGCATTTGATGGTAAGCACGAATCTGGTCAATTGATTCGCATCTCATGATTATGAGTTAATGGGGCAAGGAGAGCGTAAAAAACTAATATTTTTGTTTTCTGACAGAGCTCAATATTCAAGCTTTTTTCTTTTTTAAATTTTAAAAAATAAGCCTTTTGGTTGTTCAAAAGATGTAATACGACAATATATATATAGGATGGCGCGTATCACAAATTTTCATTTACTACCGGCCCCCTTCCCCTAATTCGGTCTGTAATCAGTCGAGTGAGCAGCCAAGTTATAAAAGAAAGGAAAAATTTGCTTTAAAAGACTAACAAAGGAGGTATAAATTGTTCAAATATTTAATTTATTGGTTGATTTAAACTACAACGTTGAAAGTGATTGGCTTATTGAACTGTCTGATTACAGTGCTCTGACGAAAGGCTAACGCTCGAAACGTCAGCTTTTAACTCTTTAACCTCTTTACGGTTGCTAACTTACGTTATCAACTCACAGGGACCGCGCAGAGAGAGGGGCTAGGGGCCCCACTCAAAAACTTGCCGCGTGGTCCCTGACTCAGTTGATAAATAGAGAACAATACATGGGCGTACACAGATATGGAATTTCTCTTTGAGTGTTTAACTCGATAACTCAAGAGTGAGCGACGCAAACAAGTGAGATGTCGATTTGAACACGAAAAGATAAATTTTATAGATATAGGCAACCATGTATTATTTTGTTTATCGTATAAACACAATAGCCCTTTACTGACAAGAAAAGTCTTAAAAGGAAAGACTTTATTAATGAATGAAAATAAAATGATCGACAATCCCCGAATAAAAATCGTAAAGTGCGTTGGCGCTAAGGCTCAAGATGAAAAAATGCGTTGAAACACTATTAAAACGTATTTTAGTTTTCTTTTCCCTTCTAGTAAAGTTTGAACGTCATCTTCTGTAATATAAGAGATACGGATTTTTCAGTGTTTCAGTAGCCATAATCTGAACAAATCCCGACAAACGACCTTGGATTAAGAATGGTGAAGGCTTTGCCGTTCATTCATCAATCTGACCGAGTGGCACCAAAGGCGAGTGGCGTGTTAGCAGCTTATTGGCGATATCAAACGCACGTGAAAAAAGTACGATATTTTTTCACGTGTGTTGTTACGTCTTTTCTTAGGGCTGGAAATCCTTGTATAACAAGGTAAATGACATCATGTTCATTCAGCCACTTTCCATTTGAGCTTTAACACAGCCATATACGGACATTTAGTTTAAGCAGACACGTTTTAGCAGTTTGACTAAGCAATGATGCTTATTTCTCCCACTTTAAGGGACATATCTCTCTACGCAATACGATTTACACCTTCAGCTGATTAGCTGGAGCTATAGGGTCCGAAGGAAGAAATTACCAACCAAAAATCTGGACCTTTAACTCATTCCACAGTCAAGAAGATATGATAACAACCGAGTTGGTTCAACGCCTTGCAGTTGCACTGTTTTGCTTGAGGAGCACGTACATACTTTGTGGTAAGTGCGAAAGCAATAATTGTTTATCAATTCGTGTCTCGACTAGGTCGACTGTTCATTGCGTCTTCATCAACCGTCGAACCGAGCTTACATTATAAAGGATGCCAAAAACTCTCGCTGCAACCATAATGCTACCCCTGATTTTTTTTACTTGTATATCCAAGAAATTTCTTTCATATGGCATGAAGCATCGGAATTTCAGGCAATCCTTTCGCTTCCTTTTTGGGATTTTTAAATTAATTAGTCTAAATATTTGTCATAGAGTATGTCTGATCCGTTTTCAAGGAGCAGACTCGGAGAAATTGCAAGAGGAAAATTAATAATAAACGTGATCTGACGTATTGTGGACCACAAAAAAAATGTTCGACAGAAAACCGGAAAACTATCGCTGAGATAACTATATTCACCGGGATTTTCAGCCGTTTCCAATAATGTTCTGTTACCTTTCGCCAATTATTATCAGCCAACAAATTTAGTAAACCCTGTCGGCGTTTTTGATGTACATAAACGTCTAACGACAGTATTTGCGAGAATTACTAGGTTTTAAAATAAGATATAAAATCATAGGCTAGTTTTAATTCTGCGTCAAGAAACTCGTTCGCTTAGATCTGCGTGCATAAGCTTTTCATTTAGATTAAGCTCTAGCCTTCTGTTAACTTACACGTATGGAGAATTAAACCCCCTCAAAATAGTCTGGATAAAATTTGAAAACGGAAAAGCGCTTCAGTATCGGTGGGGCATGTGATAATTAAGTCCTATCGGGAATACTGACCTTCGACCACAAGTCCATCGATCAAACCATTGGAGTTTAATTTTTCTAATTCAATCAATCAATCAAACCCTTTATTTTAAAACGGTGATTATTGAAGCTGAAAAGCTTCAACTGGATTCATTTGTTGCTTTTCTCGACAATTCATTTTTTTTAATCTTCAAAAATCTCTTGGACTCTGTCAATTGCTGATTGAACCGCATATTTAATCGAGAGAAAAACTTTCAGATCGGAAATCTAATTCTTTTAGACTTACGATAACATTGTCCTCATGCATGCATATGTGGAAAGAGAAATTATAAGCCGTGTATAACTTTCTTGGTTCCTTGAATACTTTT